AGAAGTCTCAATTTAATAAATTTGTAGCATTATCAATTATTTTTTACAAGTAGGTATTATCTAGATGTAACTCTGTCCTAAAACCCATCAGCAAATCGCATCATCTCCAGAATAATTTTTTTTAAAAAATCCTTTATTGTTTAAAGTATTAAATATAGGAATATCTATGTCTCCTTTTCAGAATATAATTCTTGCTTATAAGGAGAACAGCATGCTTTGCTCGTTGTTATCTGACCTCTTTTTCATTCTCTGTTCTCATCTCCAGACTCCCTTCATTGTATTTTATGACCCCGATTCATGATTTGATTTAGTTGTCTTTACTTGTTTCTGATATCCAAGATCCTATTCCTTTATTTCTTTTTAGCCTAAAATTCTCTCTCCTCCTCAAATCAAGCCCTTCATCTGGCTTCAAGATCCTACTCATGACTTCTGTCTCCAAGAAGATCCTCTTTGTTTCTCCTATTCATCAGCTAACATAAATTAGGCATTTCCCTTGTGTGTATTGCACCTTATTATAGCTTTATTAAAATGTTTGTTAAAACCCTAGCTGATTTGGCTCAGTGGATAGAGCATCAGCCTGCGGACTGAAGGGTCCCAGGTTAGATTCCAGTCAAGGGCATATGCCCGGATTGCTGGCTTGATCACCAGTAGGGGGCATGCAAGAGGCAGCCAATCAATGATTCTCTTTAATCATTCATGTTTCTACCTCTCTCTCCCTCTCACTTCCTCTCTGAAATCAATAAAAATAGACAAAATATGTATTTTTAAAATTTTTGTTTTATTTCATAACAAGTCAGCTTCATATTAATTTATCCTAAAGGTTTTGATGTCCTTAGGGACAAGAATTTTGTCTTTTTTATTGTTGTTGCATTCTTGGGGACTAGCAAAATTCTGGCAAACAAAGATATTAAAATGGAATATATTTAACTATTGACCTTCAACAACCTTCATATTAGCCTATCTTCAATACTGCATATTTGAATATCTTTGGATCTAGTCATCGTTCTGAAAGTCTCTTTTTGGCTTTCTTTTTTTTTTGGTCTTTTTTTTGAGTGGAAGGAAAGAAGAGAAAAAGAGAAACAAAGAAACATGAATGTGAGAGAGACACATTGCGTAGTTTCCTGCTGCACGCACACCAAGTAGGCACTGGGATCGAACCCACAACGTAGGTATGAACCTTGACCAGGAATTGAACTTGGGATATTTCAGTGTGTGGGCCAAAGCTCTAACCATTGAGACATACCAGCCGGGGCCAGAAAGTCTGTTCTTTCTGATGCTGAAATTCCCAGCTGGTCAAAAACTGTAATCTGTATTTCTTAACATTGCTCACTTTTATTAGGACTTGCTTTTTCCTTTTTTTTTCTTTTCTATCTTCAAGCCCATATGAGAGTTCTGGTTTATTACTGAACTACTTCCATCTCCTCTTTCCACTTCATGATTAGAAATTTTAGTACAAACACATTCAATTCCCTGTCCTTACCCCAACATTCCCTTGATCTTTTGATATTGTAATGCAACCTTCTTGGCATAAATCAACTTGGGTAAAGAAAACAAGCTGATTTCTACTCTCATTAGGCATTACTGCTGAGGAAATCTTCATTCATTTTTATTTTCACAGTAACCAAAAATGTTCCCTCTTTTAAATATCACAAACTCATTACCACTTGTCTCACTTTCAGTTGAAAACTCAATCATTCACATCCGTTGGGAAAATAAGATCATTTAATTTCAATTTTTCTACCCTATATTTCAAAGTATATATCATGTTTATTCATCTTCTCCTCTTTTTGTTTATACCAGCCTACCCGATTCCTTTTCTTGGCTGTTTCTTTACAGAGGGAGGCTTATTCCTCTTATGTACAAGGTAATGGTTTTAAGAAATGATGTTTTATCCCCAGATTAAGTGTCACTGGAGCGAGTAATTTGACTTACACAACGAAGCTACCATCATGGACTTATCTTGTCATTTTTCCCCCAAAGTGGCATAAAGCACTAACAACTGCTCCGATTAGCATGAAATTGTGGCCTTTGTGAAGCCCTGCGTTCCACTCGTTCTCATATAACGTTTCCCCACAGCTGAGATCTTGACGAACCACCAAGTGCTAGAAACCTATGTCTCATTACTTGGCCTCTGAGCCAGAGGTCACTGTCCTCTAAGGATTGTCTTTAGTTATTAGATAATTGCATTTCCTGGACTGATTTCCTTTATCAGATGTGAATTGCTCCCTTGTTAAAATGCTCCTGGGCATTTCTGGGGACAGATATTAGGCAGAAATTATATTCTAATCATCTCAATTTCTTGGAATTGAAACTCACTATTGATTTTTTTCAAACAATAAAATTAGCATACCATTAAATACAGTATATAAGTAGCCACAAAAGCAGACAGACCATCATTCACTAAGCTCTTTCTTCACTTCTTGTTCTCCACTTTGAAGAAAGGTAAGAATTTAAGATATAAGTTTGATATGTCCTTTTTTTGCTTTATTTTAAGCTTGGTATATATACATATTTGGTATATATACATATACATATGAAGAAAATAATTTTTAAAATATAGTATTTGAAATAAAAGTATTTATGTAGTGCTGACTTTATTTTAAAAACTTATGGGAAAATAGTAAAAGTGCTTATAAAGATTTGGTAAAAATTATAATGATCACATAAGCTTAATGAGTTCAAGAAAATGTAATAATGGCGATTAATATTTTTTTAATACAAGGCTAGTTAACAGGTTATATTAACAGATCAATTTTCAGGCTCTGACTGGGTAGCTCAGTTGGTTAGAGTGTTGTCCTAATATGCCAAAGTTGACGGTTCTATCCTTGGTTAGGGCACATACAAGAATAAAGCAATAAATGCATAAATAAGTGGAAAATCATATCAATGTCTCTATCTTTTTGAGTTCAGTAAATTTAAAACAATTAAACACAACTTAAAAATCTCCTTTCTGAATTAAATAACTCTTCCAATTTTATTAAACATACCACAGTCATTAAAGCAAATATATTTAAATTATTGTAAGGGAATAGGAATAATTGCTGGGAAAACTTTATTTACCAGGTAGGTATAGAATTGGCATGTAGAGTCAAGATATTATAGGAATTGTTTGGGAACATATACTACTAGAAATGCTTTTGAATAATTTTTAGAAGAGTGTATTAATCAAACTTGTTTACAACATGCAGCATACCACTTTATTTAATTTACAATATTTCAAAATAATTTAAAAATAGACATATGAAATACAGAATTTAGTTAAAGAGAGACAACATTTTACTTTTAAGAAATTCTCGAATATATACAAATAGCTTGGAATCAAAAAACAAAAGAGTGATTTGAAGACAGTGTACCGGAGAATATATTAGTCAATAAAGAAATCTGGCTTAAAAAATGGCATATAAAATGCTAATAATAAATTTGGAAAATGTAATGAGATCTTTCATAACCATAATTAGCTCTAACACTTTTTTGAAATCTGCCAATAAATTATTTGTAAACTTATGGAGGTCTTACTTAAACAAAGTCAAATTACTACTGCTATTTGCAAGACCATGAATGAATCTTGAGAATATTATGCTAAGCAAAATAAGTCAGACAGAAAAATCCAAGAATTATGTAATTTCACTCACATAAAACTGGACAAACAGGACAAAGTAAAAAACCTTATAGTTACAGACAACACTATGGTGGTTACCACAAGAAATGGGGAGAGGTAGTTAGGGGTAAAGGGAGTCAAATATATGGTGGTTGAAAGAGATTTGACATTAGCTGGTAAATAAACAATGCAATACACCGATGATATACTATAGAAATGTAACTTGAAACATATAATTTTATTAACCAATGTCACCACAATAAATTAAATTTAAAAGTGATTATATACCAACCTTAAGGAAGGCTAAGAAATATATTTTTGCTTAAAAAGAAAAATATTTCAACATTAAAATATAGAAAAGAATATTTTCTGATGAATTAGAAACCTTTTTTCATGAAATATTTGTAGTTTAGAAATTCAGTTTATAAATCTGTTTATAAATTGAAGATTATTTGTCAAGGTGTATTGATAGGGCAAATAATATTTTTACAAGAAATTATGGAGATGAAACAAAGTCAAGCATTGAATATATTTTGTTAAAAAATGTTAACAAATAGTTTATGTTATGCTACAAGAAGGAGTGGTCTGCAGTAGGGACTGGGCAACAAAATCTGATCCTTTGATAAATCAAGAGATTACAGAAAAAAGAAGAGACATGGTGTATGATATATAAAGCTATATGTCACAAAGGAGAAGAGACATCATTAGGAGTATGAGGATGAAGACTGTGTACTGGGTACACATGAAAAATAAAGAAACCATTCAGTCCAAGAAACATCTGTATAAGTGAAGCAAATAATGAAATGCTTAAACAAAGATCCCAGTCTTGCTAGAAATAAGGACATATGATTAAACAAAATATTCCTAGAAAGGTAAAAACAAAATATGTTCTTCTATGTATACATTTTCTTTAATCAGTATTTTCCCAACAGATATGAGGATTCATTAGGGCTAAGACCTTAATATTTTGTTCCATTATTTTAAATCAAGACACCAGACAGCATCGGGTATTTAAGGATGTGAAATAAATATTACTCATTTTGAATAAATGAAGCAATTAATAAAGTTTTATATAAAATTTAAAGCTTCTTTCTATCTTTTGAAAAAGCACACAACACACTGTATTTAAATGAGATAAAAAAAAGAGTAAGGTAGGGTACAACTGATAGCTGAAAAAAATCTGAATAGTTGGCATTAAATTATAAAATTGATATGTAAGATCAAGTTGCCATTGTAGATTTTGTCTTTGGTGTATAATAAAACTTCTATTAGTATTTTTTCTAAAATGGAAATATTTTACATGGTTTTTAGTTTCTTTTTTAAAAAGTAATTCTACCTAAATAAGAGGTTAGACACCTACACTATCATTTCCTCATTTTCCCTTTCACAGGACTTGAGAGCCATGAAGGTCCTCATCCTTGCCTGCCTCGTGGCCCTTGCTCTTGCCTGGGAGGTAAGAAAAACTCTAAATGATTAACATTAAATGCACATATAAAGCTGAATTTCAACAGATATATTGTTAATCACTTACATTCACCCATTATTTCAATAGAGTCCTGTAGGACCATAAATCTTGGTTAAATGTTTTCTACACCACTGGGAAACCAGTCCCTAAAAAAACAAACAACCAATAAGCATCAGCCAAAAGAAGAAGAAACAAATATAAAAACAATAAAAAAGTAATATTGCACAAATACAATTGCATGTAGTGCAACCTATATAAACATGTCAGTGATGAAACTGATGTACCTTTCACCCTGGGGCATCAGGCCAAATCCTACCTGTGTCTACTCAAAGAAATCCAGGGGGTGAAGTATAAAACAATAGTCATATTCATAAACATATTTGTAACCATAATGAAAGTGTTTGATACAAATTCAAATAACTCCCTTTCTGTTACTCGTGAAAAATTGTTCTTCACTCAGGTAAAATAAAATTATACCATTGAAGTTATCAAGTATAAAAGACATAAAACACGATTGCATTTCAAGGATCTCAGAAGACATACATTTTTTTTATTTCTTAAGTTTGTGAAGGACATATCTCTGCATAAAGAAGGTGAAAAGTAAGTAAGAAAATGAGTTAGGCATGGAAACTAAATGGTGTTTTGTTTTGTTTTTGTTTTTACAGAAAAAAGAACTCAGTGTATCTAGTGAGGTAAGATATTTTATTTATGGAAAAATTTATCAACTATGAATAGTAACATTCTGCCCTGGCTGTTGTGGGTTCGACCCTTGGTTGTGGAGGACAGGAGGCAACTTATACATGTTTCTCTCCCACATCAATGTCTCTCTCTCTCTCTCTCTCTCTCTCTCTCTCTCTCTCTCTCTCTCTTTCTCTCTCTCTCTCTTTCTCTCTCTCTCTCTTGCTCTCAAATTGAAAAAAAATAGTCATATTCTTGGATGATCCAGTGGTTGATTTTGTATTTTTCTTTACAGACGGTAGAAAGCATTTCCAGCAGTGAGGTAAGACAATGTTCACTCTGTGGCTATTTTCCATTCAGGAAGAGTAAATTGCTAGATACTCTTGAAGGAGTGAGGAACAACTCAGGCAGTATAAGGCCTGCAGAATCATTTGGTCTGGCCCTGCCAAGGCATTAGGGGTGAGTTAATGAAATGTTTTACCAAATATAGCAGGATAATTTTTAAGTTGATAATTTTAAATGGCCCCCTAACGATGATATAAATATCCAAATTGTCCTTGGCAGAAAAAAGGTTCCCCACCCCTGCTTATATTGTTTTACTTTAGGACATTTAAGTCATGGCAGCTAGTTCTGACATATAAATTCTAATGTAAATTTCCATGATATACTTAAGAACAAAGTAAAATGCTTGCAGAATTCACTATTCAAGCACTTTCTATGCTAGCTGCTACTTGAATTGTCACTGTGCCTCACCCTCTTCTTTAAGAGAACTCTACAGTCCTTTTTTGTGTCTTGAGCTCTCTCCACCTTGACCTCATGCCCTGCTTTGACTGCTTTTTGAACACCTTCTGTGGATTTACATTGAGTAGGAGCTGTGCTACAAATTGAAAAGCAGATGCCCATAGGAAAGAATTGCAATATAGGGGTGGGCAGACATGCAAATAGACATATTTTGTCATTACAGGAGTCACTTTAGTAAATAAGAAGCAGTGAGACTAGTTTTAGTCTTAAGTCTGTCTGGAAGGGTCAGGCAGATATGTACACTTGCACCACTGTTGGGGTCTGTCACCTGATAAATGGTACCTGGATTACTTTATCTCTTCCTAAAGGTTATCAGATCCTTAGGAAAAGTTTTTTAGTTCTTGCAGTTCATTTGAAGACTGAACATAACAAACGAACTAAGAATAATGAACAGAATGCATTAAAACTTATAATTTCTTATTAATGAATTTTATTCTTTTAGAATCAGATGGTGCCTTTTGTTGATTTTGTATTTTTCACTTGTCATAGGGAGGGAACATAGAAGGAAAACTAGCGTCTATAAAATGCCTCCGGTTGTACTATGTTTGCTAATTTCCTCTTCTTTCTTGACTGCATTCATCTGTCTCTTTTATAGAATAAGCTTGTGCAAAACAGTGAAACATATAAGTTTCAGTAATTATGCTGTGTTTTCAATATTATCAAGCAAAACGCCCATATTAACCTTGTAATTTCTTCATTTTCTGATTCATACTGGCAAAAAAAATTTCCATTATAACCTAACCTACTTTTATTTTTATTTTTATGAAGGAATCCATTACCCACATCAACAAGGTAAAGCTATTTTTTAATTTCTTAAATGTATTGGAGTGACATTGGTTAATAGGATCATATAGATTTTAAATGTACATTTCTATGATATATGATCAGTATATAGCATTGTGTGCCCATCACCCTAAGTCAAATCATTTTCATTCACCATTTTTGACCCCATTTATCCTTTACCCCAACCCTCTTCTTTCTGACAACCACCATACTATTGTGTCTATGAATTTCAGTTGTATATTCCACATAAGGTGTGTGTGGGCGGAGATAAAACACTTATGTTTAAATATAATATTTTCAAAATGTCCTACATTTAATTTCTACAGATCATACTATTTATTTTCATGTTATTTGTTTTTTAACAGAAACCTGAGCAGTTTGAAAATGAGGAACAGCAACAAAGAAAGGTAATCTGTTCATGATGTGTATATTTCAAAAATTATTATAAAATATAATCCATATAAAAAGATGTGCATTATTCAGTCCAAAGAATTGTAATAAAATGTTGCCAGAATAAGAAATAAAATATAAATATTTTTAAAGCTAAAAGTGAATTTTTAAGCTTATAATCCACTTATAGAAATTCAACTAAATACTTAAGAATAATTATTGATTTGTTCACTTTATTAATGGTGCACCTGTTTTACAGAAATGTACACTATTGGATACATGTTCAGGTTGGGAACTAGTTTCCCTTATTTTCAAGATGGATAGGCTGATGAAAGAAATGGGAAGAAAATATGGCACAAATCCGAATCTGATCATTGATTAGCTGTATAACCATGGCCCCAAGTTTCTCTGCACTTCCATTTCTTCAACTATAAACTGAGAATCTTAATAATCCCCTAGGGTTGATGAGCTGGCACACAGTAAATACTCAAGGATTTACTTTAAAATTGTATATTTTATATTAACATTGATGGATACAGTTCATAAAAGACTTTGCATTACACAGAGGGGAGAATTGAGATACAGAACAACTGAGTACACAATTGTCTGACAATATCATACAGTTATTAAGTAGCAGAGCTTGCTTAACAATTAGGTTTTCTTAGACAACAAAGAATTATTTCATTAAATTACACATGTGGTAACATAGTTATCTATATTATTTCAACTTCTTGTTTTATCAATGGCTACCATTTGTTTGGAACATACACCAAATATTTCTGTAACTAAAAATAAATTTACAAAAGATGGCTCTTTAAGGACTCACAGTAATGACCATTAGCCAATGAAAGCAGTGCTAGAAGTTAGCTGGTTTTGAGGCACTCCTTCAATTAAAACACAAATTAAGATTTACTTTTCATTAAAATACAGAGAAGTAAACTTTGGAAACATTCCTCTAAGTTTTCAAAAAAATTAACTTTCATTACATAAAACAATTTGGCTTAATATTATCCCACCATGTTGAAAAGTTCATGCCCTCTGAGCACCAAACTGTACAGCAAGTCACAGTATTGAAAGCAACTCAGAAAGGAGAAACAAGCTTGAAATCCCTAAACACTGATTTCGGCTTGATCTGGGTCTCCCTAAAAAGGAGTGGGTTAGTAAGAAACCCTTCAATGAGTATTTAAATGATTTTCACATGATTTACCTGCATAGGTAAAAGATTTTCCATCTCTTTCACTCAGGATTCCTCAATAGAGAGGAGGTTAATTCATCATGAATGACAATTATAGCGGAATCTTGGACACCAAGATTCTTTTTCTTTTTTTCCAGGATGAACGCCAGGACAAAATCCACCCCTTTGTCCAGCCACAGCCTCTTTTCTATCCTTATGCTGAGCCCATGCCTTACCCTGTCCTTCCACAAAACATCCTGCCTCTTGCCCAGCCTGCTATGGTGCTGCCTCTCCTTCAGCCTGAAGTGATGGAAGTCCCCAATACTAAGGAGACCATCATTCCTAAGCGCAATGTGATGCAATTGCCTAAATCTCCAGTAGTGCCATTTCTTCAGCGCCAGATCCCAAACCTCACTGATCTCAAAGCACAGCTTCCTCTGCCTCTGCTCCAGCCCTGGATGCCCCAGATCCCCCAACCTCTTCTTCAGACTCCCATGCTTCCCACTCAGCCCCTGGTCTCCCTTCCTCAGTCCAAAGTCCTGCCTCTTTCCCAGCAAGTGTTGACCTACCCCCAGAGAGCAATGCCTGCTCAGGCCCTTGTGCTGAACCCAGAGCTTCTGGTTGACCCTACCCAGGCATTCTACCCTGTGACGCAACCTATTGCCCCAGTTTACAACTTACAACAAGTAAGTCCTACTTTATTAACTCTGTTGCTTCATTCATGATGCGTATATATAATAGTAGAAGAAGTGAGATATCCAGACTAAAAGAATAAATGAATATTTAATGGACATCCTAATGCACATAGTTGACATCAGGTATTCTCAACTCTAGTTACACAAAAAAGATAATTTAGAAATCTTGTTTCCACCCAAGTACCAATGTCTAGGAATACTTGCAGACGTTTAGAAAGAATTGTTCTGATTATCTATGTAGAAGATATTAAATATTTAGAAGAAATTATTTCAGAGAATCTGATTTAATTGATGTGTAGAGAATATAGCTAAAGAAGATTGAAATGTACTAAAGACAGTTGAATTTGGGAATTTGAGTGTAGAATAGAGAAGTTCTATTATTTTCTACAGTTTTGAAGTTTTCCTTGTGCACATCTATTCTCTGCATGCTTTAATGCACATCTTGTTCTATATGTACATGAAAGGACAAATGAGTGAAATGTCTATTCATTATTCACCAAATTTTTATTTATTTTTTTAATTACAATTTTTATCACCATTTATCCTGCCCTCTTACCCTCTTATACCTCCACCCACTCCCACATTGATTGAATTTTTAGAAGAATTGTTCTATCCAAGAAGTTAATTGTATATTTATTTATTTTTCTCTTTTTTAAGGTTTAAGAGGATTTCAGAGTTAATGTTTGCCCCTCATAGTTGGTAAGTTCTTACTGTTGGTGATTAGACTGATTGTCTTTATAGTTAACACATTTTTACATTACATTGTCCCGAATAAGCCCAAGATAGTGACAAACTCCATCAACATACAAAATTAATTATTTATAATCAATGTGTCATGTACATTCAAACCAGTTGAGTATTATGTACTCACCTGAAATTATGCATCTTATATTTCATTAAATATAATTGCATTATTGACAGATATGTTTTTTAAGTGCCTATGTTCTTATGCTTGATTACCATAATTTTCAGAGTAACACTGAAAACAATTTCTTCTACTTTTATGTAAATATGTATGACTTTTAAAACAATCTACATGCATTCTCATTTCTACCTTAGACTTATTAAATTTTAATGGTTTTTATCACATTTAAAATTTACATAGTCTTTTAATTCATGGGTCAAATAAAATTATTGAGTCCCAGTGTGAGGATTAAAAAGGGGAGAGACTCTAACTTTGAGATTCTTGAGATACAAATTTTTACTTATTATGGTAAACTAGATATTTCTACAAAACAATTCCAAGTCAGATACTCTTTGGTCTTAGAAGACTTTCATATGCAGGATAGGGCTCAACATGGTGCATTGGTAATAAAGTTCCTCTAATGAGTTAGTCACCCCAAAATTCTAAATGGAGAGACATGTAAAGTTATATAATAAAACATAACTAATTCTATATTTGTTCTCTATTTCATAGAATTGACTGTGACTGGAAATGTGGCATCTTTTCAATCTTCGCATCCTGCTATCCAAAAAATTAACATTTTTAAATGATTCAACATGCAAACTGTGAAAATGTATTTATTTATGTAGTATATAACATTCTTTTTAATTTGACTCATAACCTCTCTTTTCCATATTTTAATTCAGAAAGTACCACAAATTTCAATTTTGAGTTGGAAATGCCATAACCCTATCAATAATATGTATTCAAATAGTTTCTATAATTGTACTTATTATTGCTATATCCTAAACAGTCATTTCAATAAATTAACCCTTTATGCATATTAAGATATCCTGTCTTTATTATAAATTTTCAAACATAATTGGTTTCTTTAATGTTAACTTTAGATTATTATTGTTATTAAAAATAGCCATGGAAGATTGAAATTAAATGGAAAGCTTTGAGTTAAATATTAAGATATGTTAAAAAGTAGAGGGAAAAGATAATCATATGCTGGGTTTGCTCTAGAAAGACTTGGTTACCCCCATAGTCACAGTTTAACTATTACACCTGTGCCTTTCACCCTCCAAAGTACAAAACATTAAATGTCAGATTCTATGGTCACCCTAGAAAAAAGTTTCAAATGTGAAATCTAATTCACAGCTCTACAACATAGAAGCTAAGTTGTGCTTTAAAAGTTACTTGATCTTTTAGAGCTTTGATTTCAACATCTATATAAGAGCCAGTTCAAAGGGTTTTATTGAAGTTTGAATGTGATTAGTGGACTGCACAGCACCTGATAAGTGTTTCTTGTTGCTCCATGTTGCTGACTTGACTTGTATCAGAGCAGCAAGAGCCAGTACCACAATCAGTAAGAGGTGGGTTATGTGATTTTTGGCAGTAATGCCCAAGAACCAAAAACTTACAGAAAACTCTGATATGCATTGTCACTGACAGTGGAGTAATTGTTTCATTGTGATGAATTATTTCTCTACTAACTCCTGCACTGCACACTCAGGGCTGTCCACTTGAGTTTACACAATTATTCATCTCTAGCAATTATTCCCTCTTTGCTGCATCCTCCACTTTTTCCTAACCTTCAGGATCAAATGCAAACCAAACATATGTTATTCTTTGATCAACCTGTTCCCATCAAGCTTTTGTCCTTACTGAAACCACTTATTTTTCCAAGATCTCCAACTTTCTTCTTGATAAAATGTTAATGTTAACCATCTTCTCAGTGCTATTTGGTAAACTTGATCATTCTTACTTTTTTGAAATATCAGACTTCTCTTCATTTGAAATCCTAAACCTGTTACACTCTTGGTTTCTCCCTTAATTAACTAGCTATTTCTTTGCAGTATCCCTTCTGATATTTCATTTTCCAAATCGCTTAGGGTTGGGTACCCTAGGAGTTAGCCTTATCTGGCTGATATTGTTTAGTTTCATGGTTTTAATCATTCCATCATCTGAGAGCATCTAAATGTATATCTTCAAACTTCTATCCTCATCTCCAAGCTCCTAAATTCCACTGGCCTTCTTGGCCTCCACACCTGAGTATCTAATTAATATCACAAACCTGGCTTGGCCAAACATAACTCTTCATCTGGATTCATTCTCTAACTTACTTTTATTTTATTGGGTATACTTAATTAAAAAAGAAAACTGATAAGGTATGGTCAATAGATTCATTTGAATAGGCACTTCACACAAAGGAGAATATCTTATTGGACAATAAACCTATGAAAATATACTAAACATGCAAATTAAAGCTGTTATATAATATCATGACAAGCATTTGAATGACTAAAATGAACAACAACCAAAATTGAGATATCAAGTGTTTGCAAAAATAAACTAAAGAAGCCTGGGCAGCTGCTGCGCAGTAGATACAGGCAGGCCTGTGAACCTAAGGGTCACTGGTTTGATTCCAGGTGAAGGGTGTGTTTCTGGGTTGCAATTGGCTCCCCACACCTTTTGGAGGGGTGTGCAGAAGGCAGCCTGTCCATATCTCTTTCTCACATAGATATTTCTCTCTCTCACACACACACACACACTCTCTCTCTCTCTCTCTCTCCCCCTCTCTCCCCCTTCCACTTTCTCTGAAAAAGCAATAGAAAAAAAATCCTCAGGCATAAATAAATAAATAAATAAAAACAAAATAAAAATAAAAACATGAATGCTAAGCCATGATGATGAAAATGTAAAATGGAACAAATACCTTAGAAACCAGTGTCAGTCTGTGTCTAAGATAAACATTTGCATATTTCATGACTAGTAGTTCCACTCAGATATATAGCAAATAGAAATAATGTATATGTGCATTAAATATATGTACCCAATGTTCTTAGCAGTATTATTCTTAAGATCTTAAAGTAAAATCAACACTAATATGAATCCAATTTATTTTGTATAAATAAATTATAATATACAATAGAATGGAATCTTATACTGCTACACAAATATGAGTGAGCAACTGCCACACAAACCAATAAGGATGAATTTTATATAAATACTAGTGGCCCGGTGCATAAAATTCATGCACATTAAAAGGGAATTAAGTAGAGGAAATATTTTAATATTGCTATTTGCCCTTTCTTTATAATAGAAGTGTCAGAGATGGAAGAAAATTAGTAAAATGTATAATAAAATATTCCTCCTGTCAGAGTCTGGGGCACACTGTGGGACCCAAAGTCAAGTCCCCGCCCTCCCGTGCGTGCTTTGAAATTGCACAAGACCCAGACCCAGCTGGCCCCATCCCTGTCAAGCCCCACCAGACAGGGGGCACAGCCTCAAGTCCCACATCATGCCTTGCCGGGTTGGGGGGGGCACAGCCTCAGGTCCCCTGACCAGGGCAAAGGGCACAGCCTGAGGTCCCCTAGCCCAGCACCGGGGTCCCCCATCAAGCCCGACTGGGTGGGGGGTGCAGCCACAGGTCCCCACCACAGCCCGGCACCATGCAACCTCAGGTCCCTGCTGATCGCTCGTTATGGGAACCCTGCCTCCACTGTGGGCCCAACCATCTTGTGATGGCGTGATGTTTAATTTTCATATTACCTCTTTATTACATAAGATTAATGAATGACAGTAAACAGACACAAAATATAACAGACTTCATGCCCCGTAAATAGACTCTGTTGGAATCTATACAATATTAATTTCTAGTGAAATAAATTAGGCTAGTATCTATCTGAGGGAGTTAGATCTTGATAAGGAACATGAGGGGGTGCTCTCTGGTGCTAGTGATATTCTTTCTATTAACCTTGTTTATATATTTGCTTTGTAATTATTCATTTTATGTGAGTTTTTCTAAGTGCCTGTTTGTTGTTTTATAAATTTAAAATGCATGTTACATATAAAACCATGCCTGGCCCACCTGCTTCTTCTTCCCTGTGTGTGGGACTTCACCAATGCAGAATCACCTTTTAGCTTTTGACTTGAATGCAATTCAATCATAGGACATAAGATCTGGTTTCCTCAGGAACTGTGGAATGACTGGATAATGAAATTGCAAAATGCATGGTTTTAACCTTATCAGGTTGAAATTTGAAAAATAAGAATCAGGATATGGTAGAAAATTTGCATTTGTGGTATATACATAAAATAAAACATAATTCACCTTCTAACATGAGGAAAGCTGCCCTCGAGTTCCGACTGATGCCAGACAGTCCTGCTTCTCCCATATGAGTCTGGGTCCCTAGAGACTCGCCCAGAACTGGAGCTCAGAGCTGAGACTCCCTCCTGATTGAAAATGACAACTGCACCCTCAGCCACCAGCCCGCTCCGCATGCACCTCCGCACCTTAGTATTTTACTTCAGCACTGCGCCTCCTCTGAGTCTCGGTATGCTTTTCTCTTTCCTTCTAGTTGTAGAATTACCACTCAGCCAGCCTTCCTGTGGTTCTGGATGATGTCCGTTCCATCTTTTAGTTGTATTTTTGAAGTGGTTGTTCGAGGCAGCAAACTCCGGTGTTTACCTATGCCGCCATCTTGGTTTCTCCCTTGATATTGCATTCTTTATTTGGATGTAATAGTACCTGATTCAACAAGATTGTGTAAAGATTTAATAATTTAAAAAAAAGATTTGATAATTAGTTGTGGGAAAGCCTTTAACCCCTAAGCATAGAAAGTGAACATCATTTTGGTTGCCATGTTTAAGTATTTGTTCTATATTGGGTATTGATTCTGTAGATGCCTTATATTTGTTATTGCACCAATTCTTCCAGCAACTCCTGAAGGATATCACCACATAAGGTAAAATGGGGATCACCTAGGTTAAG